TTTTGACGGCGTAGGTGGAATAGAGCTTTATTACGACAAGGCCCGAGAGTTTTGGAGGACCTTTCGAATGAGATTTCCCCATGCGAAAAGGGTGGTTGTTAACAGCAATAGGGAAAAGAGGTACGAGAGATATCAAAACGATGAGCCTATTGCATATGCTCTAAAGATACTTGTCGAGACATGCCCAGTTGACCTGGAGATTTCGGTTTTTGTACTGGTAGAGATAAGTCCTGGAAGGCAGACTGTGCTTCCTGATGCGAAGAATTGGCACAGGGTACTCTATCGTCTTATAGATAATGGTAAATGGAGGAAACTTGCGTCTAAGTTTGAACGCAAGACCGTTCTTATGCCTCGTAGGAGATTTAATGGGCTGGCTGGTAAATTCAACAGACTGCTCCATGAAGAAGAGACGAATCAATTACAACTTACAGGCCTTGGGGTAGTCGCAATCGAGGCTTTCGATCGACAATACTTTAGCAAGGAAAATCCCGAGCCATTTCGTTGCCCTACGGGTCAATGCGAAGTCTACTTAGAAAAGGCTGGGCAGTGGACGCAGCATGCTTGTGAGAGACATGGGGCCGACTTGTATATGAAACAACCTGAGATTCTACCTTCCACATTACCACATGTTTTCGAAGAACGTAAAAACAGTCTGATAAAAGGGAGGGGAGCGCGACTAAGGGAATTCAGAAAGATCCATAATGATTGGAATGAGGAAGGGGGTAAGAAGAGACAGGAGCTAGAGCGGGGTTGGATTCATCAGTTGGATAACGACGAGACATGGAACACAGGGGTAAAGGGAGAAGATAGTAAGCTCTGGGAAAATTTCATTTGGATGATGGGTTTTCCAACTTTATGTATAGAATAGATACTAACTAGAGGCTGGATATCTTTATATAGAGCTATAATATTATCTCCTCACACGTTATAGCCTTACCTGGAGAAATGCTTGTTCCAGCATATTTTGCTCTTATATCTCAAATACCAATAGCTGAGGATTAATCTTTTAACTCTAATAAGACATGTGTTGCAGAAGAAAAGAATATGTCGCATTACAAGAACACACACTCTGCCCTATGGCTGTAGTTTGCTCTAAGCGATTAAAGAGCAACTAATTTCGCGAATCTTTGTGCTCATGCACGTGTCATACTTGCGCAACATTCATGGCAATAAAGCTTGGTAGAAGAATAAAGAATAATCGAATTGCGTATCTATACATAATAAGAGAGTGTGATTATCTCCAAACAAAATAAAGACAAAGGAAAGCATCCTGGCAGCGCCTGCCGAGTACTTCGTTTCTATATCGCATACATGCTTCGCTCTAGCTATGAACTACGCCTGAGGCAGCACACCCTGCGCAAAGGGTCTCTCTGGATCATTGTAACACCGCTAGTTGCTATCCTCGCTGAAGCCAAGTCTAATCGTACCGACGTGGCTGTTAGAGCCGTCGTAGTACATGCCGAGTTGTCCACCAACTGCGGCCATATGCTTGGCGAATTTGGCCTGCTGCGAAATGTACCAGTTGACCTCCGACGTGCATCCATCTCTTGAATCCATAAGCCTTGAAATACCTGATGAGCATAGATAGCGTACGCCATTAGCTACATCCTTGATTTGCTCTTTCGCAACGGCTGCAGGTGGGTAGAAGTCGATCGCCATTGTGAGGAGGAGCTTCCGACCATTGTGAAGATAATTGCTTTGATCGTCGTGACCATTGGCGAACTCTCTGGATGCATATGCGATTCCACCATCCTCATAGAGGCCTGTTTTGTCGATTATAGCCATAGCGTCATTGCAGAGGCCCTCAGCTGCCTTTGTAACGTCTTCGACCCATACAAATTCATCGTGTAATTAGGTAGGGTGTCCAGTTTCGTCCTGGCATACCGACTTTTGATCTAGGCCCATGAAAGTTCCTAGTGCCTGGATCTTGTCCATCAAGCCACGAGACAGCAAGCCGGTGTCAAAGTCGTCTTCAGTTTTCTGGGAGGCGAGAGCTTGCGCTGCCGGAGCACGAGCTCCAGAAAAGCAGGCTCGAAGCTGTTCCTGAGTAGGATCACCTGCCTTTGGGAAGCTTGGAAATGTCTTTCGTACGCAAGCGACGAAAGGATCATTCGGCGTAAAAGCTGCCCTTGGCAGCTCTTAAGCTGGAGCAGCGGAAACAGATACAGCGGTCATTGCCAGAACATTGAAGAATGATGTGTTGTACTTCATTTTGGGGTTCTAGTAGAGAAGGATTGAGAGATGATAGTAAAATTGATGAGTTGCGAATTTAGCTGTAACAAAGGTGGATTGAGTGCTTGCTTTTTCTCTAGCAAAGTAGAGAAGATTTCTCATTATATAAAATATCTCTGGCATGTCTTTACCTCTGTCTGTCTTGCACTTCTTTGCAAGCGCTGACAAGTGGCGTGCAGTGGCACAGGAGCACATTCACGGATATCAAAACGCAATATAGCAAGCTTGGAAATAACAAGCAGTCATCCTTGCCTCAATTTCAAAACAGAACCTAGTCTGCAGTCATTCTAAGATGAGGCATAGCAATAAGGACCGAACGGAGTTTTTCGACCATCAAGGGCTTGTCCGTGATTGCTGCTACACAGCGTTAACCGTGCCATACGGCGTGAACAGTGCCCTACGCAGTGAACGGTCCCATAAGGCGTAAATGATGCTACACAGCGATAACAGTGCCATACGGCGTGAACGGTGCTATACGGCGTGAACGGTGCTATACGGCGTGAACGGTACTATACGGAGTGAACAGTGCTATATAGCGTGCTATACAGCGTTAACGCTGCTGTACGGCGTCAATGTTGCGGGTAAAGGACGTTAAGAAAGTCAGGTTGTCTCTCCTAACCTTGCGCAGTGGCAATCCCAACACTACGCCCCCTGGTACACTCCGAAATCTGCCTGACTGCCTATCTCTATTACGGACCAATTCAGTAGCTCTACTGCGGTCTAAGCATGAGAGTAATCCTATCTTACTTCAGTTAATATCTATCCTCAATATCCTCATTCCTTGTGTATATAAGATACACTTCTATAGTAAAGCAAAAGGTATCATCACATCTTGTACTATCTAAAGCACTGAAACTACACGACTCTTTTCAATCGTTACTCCACCTCCAAAACCTCTTACCATGCGTCTGCTATCTGTCTTAACAGCTACTGTGCTCCTTGCTGTCAGTACGTTTACGGGCACGTTTGGCGTACCTGTAAGCGGGGCCGATGTTCAATCACAACTCTCGCAAAGAAGTGGGCTCTCTAAAAGGGCCCCACCCATTCCTATGGACGAAGTTGCCTATCGTACATGGCAAGGAAAATTGCCGCCAAATGTCTTCATGCAGACAGAAATGCCAGACCACCAAATCAAGGCCTACGCGAAAGCTACATACGATAAGTTAGTAAAGAAAGCATCGCCTATATTGGTAGCTGTTATATAGGTTCCTGGAGCAGGCCTTGCTGCAGGGACCATATGGCACGGAAGCAACAGGGACTTTGAAACCATCCAGCTACTGCTACACCACACACACGAGCTCTCGTTACTCACCAGGAATACATTTCATTCGGAGACCCAGGGTCAAATCCTCCTTTAAAGTGGCATGCTGAGATTGTAGCTGCACAGAAAGCAGAGGTTGAATTCGGGCGTAGCATGAGAGGCGATAGTAAATGGCCAGCCGGATCAAAGATCTGTATATATGGAAAGCTGCGCAGTTCTAACAGCAGCCCACGCTACTATCCTCCCTG